TGTTAGTCAGTTATTTTTAAGAGGTGGTACCAAATTAGGGCATGACTTTCTGGGTACCCTGAGAAAAATACCACATGGCCCAGGGGTGCTTTCTATGTGTGTTTCCTGTGCTCTATAGCTGAGCTTAGACTTCTCATTCCTGTTTCATGAATTTGCCCTTTATAATAAAGAAAAGTATAATTGGTCTATCTTTTAGCCAGCCTGTTTTTTTTTGTTTGTTTCCTTAATCAGAGATAATGGAAAAGTCAGTGCTCAACGTGGGGCTCAGTTTCCCCCTGGCTATAGCCAGTCATGGCCAGGTTCACTGTGATGCATTTGGGTAGGATCCCAACATGGCAGCCCTGAGTAGCCACTAGCCTTGGTAGCATCTCGGACCTGCTCCAGGTCTCCTGCACCTCTGGTGAACTGAGCCGCTAGCTTGTGGATTCAGCTTTCCTGGAACACTGCAGATGCTCAGGCAGGACTCAGTTTTTTCCAGGTATCTCTGTTGGCATTGTTGTCTTGTGTCCTTGGATTGCTGAATAACTGCTTTTAATTTGAGCATATTTTTCTGTATCTAATGCTATAATTATTTATAGTCATATAAATGCTCAAGTTAATACAGTTATATAGTTGTTCAAGCGGCCACAAGGCTGCAGCTGCATCATAACAAATACTGGCCGGTAACAATTATTGCACTTACTCCAACTCATTACAGGTGAGATTTACAAGGTCAAATTTATAAGGTCAAATTTATAATTTATAATTTTGAAAGGGCAAGATGGCAGATAACTAAAATACAAAAATTCAACAGAGTTTTTTACTTATACCATGTATGCAATGTTTATTTCCCTTTTACATCCCTCTATTTGATACTGTGAATTAGCTTTGTCCTTCATATTTTCTTCTTAAAAACATGGTTTGAAAAAAGGGCAAAGTGAGGCACTTTTAGAAATGATGCAGTCTTTACAGACTGATAATGACCAACTAATAGGGAAATTCAGTGCTCTGGTGAAGGATACAACCAATTTGACAAACAAAACCCAGTCAATGTCAGAGGGTGCTAAAACATTGTCTGAGAGAATTCATGCTGTTGAATGTATTAATCAAAATCTGTTGAATGATTATGGTAGACTAACAAGATAGAATATCTCTTCAGAAAGGTAATATGTATTCTATAAAAAGTATCCAAGGATGAGGTGTTATCTTTACCGGACAGATTTCATACCTTGGAATCTTCAATAAGGGCATTAGAACAGAACACTGGACAGCAGATCTAGACTTTACAAAAGGCAGTGGTAAAATGATTTGACATGGTTGAGAAATTTGTCGAATTCGATAACCATGGATAGAAGGTACAAAGAAAGAATTTATATGCATCAGTATGTATCAAACTCTGGGATTGCTTACCCAGAGTTCTAACTGCCTATCCAGTAATTTCCTCGGAAGGAGCATCTGGCACCAAATACCCTAAGGTAGTCAAATAATATACATGCGAATCCATATGTATGACTGATCTAAAGGAAATTAAACAAGCAATAGATTTTTTTATGGATTACATTCATCCTTTAGGAAAATGGTAAAAATGTGGGCTTCAAACCACCCCACAAGATTGGTTTCAATTAGTCTCAACTGTCCTAAAAAAATGGATCGCAGCTTCTTTGAAAATATTACTAGAGAGAAGATTCTAGTAGACAATGTCCTCTCTCCCAACAATTTTGTCCTCAGGGTTGGGGACACCATTTAAGGTTGATTATTACTTGAATAAGATAGAGTGTTGGGTGAAAACTATGTAGGGCCAAAAATTTAAAAAAATAAAGAGGAAAAAAATGAATGGGATAATGAATAATTTAGTGTGAACTCAATCACCAATAATAAAAATAGTGGGTAATAGAATGAATACTTGTGAGTTATTATTGATGGATAATTTACATTGGTATAGTTTTTTGTATATCGATACAAGTTCAAATTATATTTGTTGTTTCTGTTAACAATATTATTTGTACACCTATGCAACGTATTTTGTCAGATTGTATACAAGCATGTATCTACCACTGTTTAAGACATTTTATATATTGATACAATTTTTAGGATATATTTTCATATTGCATTATATATTATTCCTATCTCTGATCAGAATACTTATTCATTGTTTAATTTTGAGGCCATTGTCCTCATTTGCTGCACATTTGTTTACAGATTATTTAATATTCTGATATGAAGTCTTAGTCTTTAAGTTATACAACGATTAGGTATTATAGGTAGATAGTTAATCATTTTATTATACATACAGTCAGATTAATTAGGTTCTTTAGATACATAGAGATTGTATTTTGCATAGATAGGTAATCTTCAACTGCCTCAAGGATCTGTAAAAATATGGCATTTAAATAACTTAGGGTTCTGTTGACATGGGACACAATTGCTCCTGACAGCACCTATCTATTCCCGAGTGAATGTTGAGCACCTAAGACACTCCACTCAGAGTTTGGTTTCTTCTTGGCACAATTGACCTTTGGGCAAGGAACTGCCCATACCTCAACCACTGACAAAGCACATGGTATTCAGAAATTGATAAGCTAGACACTAGGAAAAAGACTGCCTAACCTTGCCAAGACAGGGTAAGACAGTTCTGAAAATCTTCCTACCTCTGAAAATGATCTGTCAGGTACATTAGGCCTTAGTCAAAGTTGGTTGCTGCAATATTGCAAATGATATTTTGGATTGTTGCTCAGGTACCCAGTTGTTTCTGTCATATACTTCTTGCTTTGGAAGCTGCTTGATAGTACTTCCTGACTACTCAAGTAATATTATCTCCCTTCTCAGGCCTTTGATGGGCTTAAATACTGATAGTATTAGTTACTTCCCTCTTATGATTTATCCAAGCCAATTACTGATGGAAAATTTAGACTCTTTGAGATAGAATGTTTATTAAAACATTTATCATGTTTTCCTAGCTTAATATTGTTTATGTTGGTTATAATTTTATACTTGATGTCTGTTCCTATATTATATAGTTTTGTATTGGGTTTGGAAAGCTCTTACTTCGACAAAACGGGAGGTGATGGGGAATCTTTGTCAGCCAATTATTTTTAAGAGGTGGGAACAAGTTAGGACGTGACTTTCTGGGTGCCCAGAGAAAAACACTCCATAGCCCAGGGGCACTCGTTCTCTCTGGTTCCCATGCTACATAGCTGAGTTTGGACTCCTCATTCCTGTTTCATGAGTTTGACCCTTATAATAAAGAAAAATATAATTGCTCTGTCTTTTAGCTAGCCTGGTTTTTCTCTTGACCTGAGATAATTCAACGCTCTAAATATTCTGTCTATGCACATTTTTTAATAATGTTTCTTAAAATGGCAATATTCTTTTCGGTTCTGCTCTCAGATAATAATAGCCTATATCACTAGCTGTTCCCTAATATGCACTTGACAGTTGATTCTTGCAAAATTTCTCCTGTAGTTTCAGACACATTCTCAATAATTTTTCGTTGCAAGCATTTTGTGCCCTGTGTCTCCAATTCAAAAATACTCCAAAAAAAAAAGAAAAGAAAAGAAAATACAACACAGCTTCTACTGTTCTTCAAACGAATCCTCCTTTATGTAAAGTTTCTGCATATAGGTATTCTATTCTTCGTATCTTTAGTTAAAACATAAAACATCATCTCATTACTTCAGTTACAACAATAACACCTAGTACAACCAGACATTGATGCCTTGTGGTTCTTTGAAGACACTCTTTACTGAAAGTTGCGATGTTTTGTGTTTCTTTGAAGACATTCTTCATTGAAAGTTGTTCTGTATACAGTCAGGGTATTTCTTATTCAACAGAATATTTAATATTGTCACTTTCAGTATAGCAATTATGAATGCAATTTAAAGCAATTAAACTTGTCTCATTTTCTCCTGACATATTGAGCCTAAGAGTACATGTAGTCACCCATCAAATTGTTCTTCAGCTGAGCTAAAGTAGCTTCATTTAATCTGGTATGATATACTTAGCAGTAAATATGATCATAGAAGGAAACTTTGATAGTCTTAACATGAATCAGTCATTTAAAAAAAGAAAAGAAAAAGATAGGAGTGAAAAAGAAAATGATGAAAGTCAGAAGTTGTTCTCTTTTAGAAGATTTAAATAGGATTTCTACTTAGTATGAATGTCAGTCTTTTTTTAAAATATCATGTCTACATTATCAAACTTGTTTTAAACAGGCTCATTGCTCAACCTTTCTTTTCATTGCCTCATGCTTCACACTAGTATGAAACACAACGTATTAGATATTAAATTCTTCTTTGTACTCCAGACAGCACATGTATTCATATCTTTGTGCTATTCATAGATCTTGTTAGCCTCCAAAATCTTGTAGATAAATCTTCTGCTTGAAATTGAAAAGATGTTAAAATAAATGCTACTAAGTAAATAATGTCTAACTGCTATGTATTTGTGTGGATTTCTGCTTCAATGTTGCCGTACATGCTTATGCTTCTGTCTGCTTTGTTCTTTTTGTAGGATTCTTCAACCTGGTTATGCATCTCTTTCAGTAGATTTGAGAAGTTTCTTTCTATCATTTTATTGAAAGGTCTTTTATGGCGATATAGAGGACAGGAAGTATAACTGGGTTGTATCATAAGGGAAAGAAGTCCAAGAGGACCCAGGAGAGAGTTTGAGATGTGTATAGGAGACACAATTGAGTGTGAGTTCCTAAGGAGCTGAGCAGACATTTGGAGTAGAAAGCGTAGATCTAATTTTTAGTGCAAAAGAGGACAATTGTAGAGGAACCAGCTGGGCCTCACAGTAAGGAGCTGAGTGGATGCTGAGTCCAACTTGAGCTCATTGGAAGCTGTGTCCACTCTGCTGAAACAGTTTTATATTCTGATTTCCAGACATTTCTGACCTAACAACAGCAAAGGATATCTCCAGAGTCTAACATTTTTAAATTAAGAAGACGTGATTTTTTTTTTTTTCATATGAAGTTGATTATTATTCTTTCAAGGTCTGTGAAGAAGTATGTTAAGATTTTGATGGGGGGTTGTTTGCGGCGTCGGCGCGGTCGCGCGAGCCGGACCACAACATTCGCCGGGCGGCGGCGGCGGAGCTGCGAGCGGGAGCCCGGGGCGGCCGCCCAGCGCCACGTCGGTGAACACGGACACCAGGTCATGATCAACCAGTTCGTGCTGGTCGCGGGCTGCGCGGCCGACCAGGTGCAGCAGCTGCTGCAGGCGGCGCACTGGCAGTTCGAGACCGCCCTGAGCACGTTCTTCCAAGAGAGCAACATTCCCAACAGCCACCACCACCGGCAGATGATGTGTACTCCCAGCAACACCCCTGCCACACCACCTAACTTCCCTGATGCACTAGCCATGTTCTCCAAGCTTCGAGCCTCTGAGAGCCTGCAGAACAGCAACAGCCCCATGACAGCAGTGGCCTGCTCGCCCCCTGCAAACTTCAGCCCCTTCTGGGCCGCATCCCCACCCAACCACCAGACGCCCTGGATCCCACCCTCTTCCCCCAACTCCTTCCATCATCTGCATTGCCCACAGCCCACGTGGCCCCCTGGAGCATCACAGGGGCCCAACTCCTTCCATCATCTGCATTGCCCACAGCCCACGTGGCCCCCTGGAGCATCACAGGGGCCCACCCAGCAGAAAGCCATGGCAGCCATGGACGGCCAGAGATGAGACTGGATGGCACTGGGCTCGAGCAGGGGCAGTCCAGGGTTGTGGGGACACAGAGCAGGGCTGGGGAGGGGGGACATGAGGGCAGGGTTTCTTGAAGATCGCACTGGAAGATTTTATAAGAGAATTTTTGTGGGTGGGGGTACAGTAAACGTCCTGAGCCACTTGGGGTCTTCAGGAGTTTCTCTTTGGGAAAGTTTTTTCTTCTTTTTAATATATAACTATAATATATATGAATATAGATGTATCTGAGAGAGGGGCCTGCACATCAGGGATGTTGGCTTCAGAAGGGAAGGGCCTCAGAATCTCCCCTTGTTGACACCTTCCTCTGTCTAATTTGGGGTAACAAGGGTGCTCATAGTCAGATGGAGTGAGCTTGCAGCTGGGTGGGTATGCTGCCTTTAAAGCCATGTTGGCCGTTAGGAAGCCCCTCCCCCAAGGGAGGTCCCCAAAGGGTCCTGTTGGAGTCATCGACTTTCCTACCCCATCAATGGTAGATGGAGTTTTCATCTCTGCTGGTGGTGGCCTCAGTGGCCCTGAAACTCATCACCCTGTCCCCAACTGAGTATGCTGAGCTCCTAGGACTGAAGAGTTGGCTGACCTCTGAGTGGATACTTGGCTGTCCCATCCCTTACAGTCCTGGCTGTCCCACAGGTCTCCAGCCTCTGACTAGCGGCAGAGGAGGACAACTAAGGAGAGCCCGCCTTTGGATTGAGTTCCTAGATTAAAAAAAAAAAAATCACGTCTCACCAGGGTGCAATTTTAATTTAAAAACTTAAAGACTTTTCTAAAAAAAAAAAAGATTTTGATGGGGGTCACATTGAGTCTATAGACTGCTTTGGGTAGGACTGTCATTTTTTATTATGTTGATCCTATGTATTCAAGAGCATGGGAGATCTTTTCATTTTTTGGTTCCTTCTTAAATTTCTTCATCAAAGGTTAAAGTTCTTGTCAAACAGGTTTTTCACTTCTTTGGTTAGTGTTACCCAGAGGTATCTTATGTTATTTTTGGCTATTATGAAGGGTGATGTTTCCTTGATTTCTTTCTAAGCTTTTTTATCATTTGTGTTAGGAGGGCTACTGATTTTTTTTTGAGTTGGTCTTGCACCCTGTCACATTACTGAAGGAATCTATCAGCTGTTGGAATTCTCTACTAGAGTTTTTGGGGTTTCTTATTCATACTATCATATAATCTGCAAATAACAAAGTTTTGAATTTTTCCTTTCCTATTTGAATCCCCTTGATTTCCTTTTGTTGTCTTATTGCTATAACCAGAACTTTAAGAACTGTCTTGAATAGATATGGAAAGAGTGAAAAACCTTTTCTTCTTACTATTTTAGTGGAATCACTTTGAGTTTTTCTCCATTTAACCTTGTGTTGGTTGTCAGCTTGCTGTATATTGCTTTTACTATGTTTAGATACATTTATTTTTTATACTTATTTATTTATTATGTATGCAATTGTAGAAGGAACAGCAGCCCACCTGGTTAGCTTTACCCCGAAATAATTACACGGAAACTGTATTCATTTAAACACTGCCTGGCCCATTAGTTTTGGCCTCTTATTGGCTAATTCTCACATCTTGCTTTAACCCATATTTAGTGATCTGTGTAGCACCACAAGGTGGTGGCTTACCGGCAAAGATCCTAACCTGCGTCTGTCTCAGAGAGGAGAGCCATGACATCTGCCTCACTGCCTTCTTCCTTCCAACATTCTGTTCTGTTTACTCGCCTACCAAATTTTCTGTCCTATCAAAGGGCCAAGGCAGTTTCTTTATTAACCAATGAAAGTAACAAATAAACAGATGACCCACCTACATCATTTCCCCTTTCTCTGTATAAACAAAAAGGGAGGCTTTAACTTTAACGTAGCAAAATTACATATAACAAAACGGTTGTAAAGCAAGAATTACAGTTACAATATATCTATTTTATCTTTTATCATAACTAAGGAAAACTATAACTATAACTAATCATTCTTCAACTCCATCAAAGACTCCAGAAGGATATAATATTACCTAAGTAGAAATGACAAAGACATCTCATTGCCTGGACAGTCATCCAAAGTTCCTCTGAAACATTGGGGCATCCATCTTTGGCCTTCAGGCCCATAGTATCCAGCAGATATTTCCATGAAGCAGGAAATTTCAAAGGCAGTTCACTCACTATCTGCTGTGTCCTGCAGAATGTCTCGCAGACTCTTTCATGAATCAGGAACCCTGAAACACCATCTCACCTTTAGGCAAGTTCAGCAGTCCTCTCTCTGCGGGTTCTTTGTGTCCAGTTTATGCATCAGTCCAGGCAAGAGCAGTTTCTTGCCCACATGGCTATAAAACTCCATAAGGAGCCTCTTCAATGCCCATCTTCCTTTTGAAGTAACTGGTGCTGCCAGGAGCAGACGTGTCTCATTGTCTTGAAAAGCCCTAAGTTATTAAAACATTAAATGCCATATTCTGTAGTCTTTGAAAGATATGAAGAATGCCTATCTGAAATATATCTATGCACATCTAGAAAATCTAACTAACATGACTACAAGCTTGACTATTATTGATGATTATCCATTAACAACCTATATTTCCTAATTATACATTACATTTTTAAATGAACTACACAATCACAATACCTTAATCAAGAGCAAATATATATATAGATATAACAAAATTGACTTAAAATCCATACGAAAGCAAATTATTCATATCTATATCATATTCCCCTTTAAATGTAAAAGAACATTTATAAACAATATTTGGGAATATGGATATAGTTATTTCTCTCGAAACTTCTTCCTGCTGTATAGGGGCGCTGTTAATTAGAACTTTTATGGTATAACCTCTGTGCCAGGTTCATCTCAGTCAGCAGCTGAGTGAAGTAATTTTTTGAAGGTGTTCACGGCAACGTTTCAGGAGGGCGTAGTCTATCATACCATATTGGGATAGAAGCAACCCACAGGGTCTCATCCTCTGTGAAAACAAAAGAAGGACCTCCTTTCCAAAGCATCATATTCTTAGACCCAAATTCTGAAGTCAAGATACCTTTAGAACATACATGTTCGATCAGCTTAGCAGCCCACACAATGAAATGTCTCTCTGTATTTAGCTCCTTCACAGTCAAAAATTTTTTAAAAAAAAAAAAACAATAATACACAAAATCCAGGCTCTCTGAGAATTTTCCATTTGTATGTGGCTTATTTTTCTTTATTTCTTTAATCTAACTATCTATACTCTGTCTCTTTAAAGACTTTAACCTTTTTTTTAAGGCATTAACTTTATTCTCTGTATTCTTTTTCTTCTCTCTCCCAAGCCTACGTATACTTATCCAACACTGTGACCCATATAGAGGACTTCTATGTCTGAATCTGTCCTATTGTGAATCTGTACTTCTTTACTGTCTAGGAGCAGTTCTTAAAATGCTAAGCGCTTCTTAAAAACTTTAGCTTGTGCCACATAGGGGTAATACGATACCGCCTGTTTCCTGCCCAGTCTAAACCTTAACTGCAATGTTATTATGATAGTTACGATAGTTCCTGCCTGACTTCAGCACAGTTCAACATAGCAGAGCGGAGCTGGAGCTGCTCCTGCCTCAGCCATTTGGTGCCCCTGAGCCGAGCACAGTTCCAGGCACACAGCAAGTCTACATTGCCATCAAGCAAGCAAGCAAGCAAGCATTTTACTCCGAATGCTCCATTCAAAAGCTCTGTCTTCCCACAGGAGTCAAACAGAGATCATGGTGGCAGCACAGCCCAGAAAGCCGGCATTTTAAAAGTTCACGACTTTTTTTTTTTTTCTGCCTTTAGGTAGGAGCTACACTCAGCACTTTTAACTCTGAGAATGAGCTTTTTATCTCAATTACAGCCTAATCTGCCAGGCAGAGCACTGCGCAGCCTGGAAATATCTCTGTGTGTGGCAGGAATCCGCCATGCTCTCCCGCTTCCCTAAGCCGGGGCCCACAGTCTGCCCAAGTACAGATGGAGAGCACTGAGCCATTGGCATGGTCTCAGAGTACTTTCTTCCTGATCCTGAGTGGGCACACAAACATCCAGTCTTATAAAAGCTATTGAGATGCTTTATAGCCAGAGTTTGCACTGGCGGCACAACCCAAGAAGCTGTGTTTTAAAATGACTCAGCTTTTTTTCCTCTCGCTATTGCTGAAACAGGAAATCTCTCTACAGCAAGCCCTAGCAAACAGCAAAAAACTGTGATAAACTCTTGTTCCTTTTTTTTTTTTAAGTCCTCTCAGGTTTTATGTGAAGTTCATTACCACACTGGAAGCCATTTGTAGAAGGAACCCCCCCCTCCACACACACACACACTAGCTTTACCCGAAATAATTACATGGAAACTGTATTCATTTAAACACTGCCTGACCCATTAGTTTCAGCCTCTTATTGGCTAATTCTCACATCTTGCTTTAACCCATATTTAGTAATCTGTGTAGCACCACGAGGTGGTGGCTTACCAGAAAAGATCCTAACCTGCATCTGTCTTGGAGAGGAGAGCCATGGTGTTTGCCTCACTGCCTTTTTCCTCCCAGCATTCTGTTCTGTTTACTCCACCTACCTAATTTTCCGTCTTATCAAAGGGCCAAGGTAGTTTCTTTATTAACCAATGAAAGTAACAAATAAACAGATGACCCACCTACATCATGCAATAGTCTGTCTGTGTGTATGTCTGTAAGCCAGAAGAGGGCACCAGACTTCATTACAGCTGGTTGTGAGCCACCATGTGGTTGCCAGGAATTGAACTCAGGACCTTTGGAAGAGCAGGCAATGCTCTTAACCACTGAGTCATCTCTCCAGCCCTAGATACATTTCTTTTGTCCTTGATCTTTCCAACACCTTCATTTATCAAGAAGGGGTGTTGGATTTTGTTGAGTGCTTTTTCAGCATCTAATGAGATGATCACATTGTATTTTCTTTCAGTTTATTTATATGGTGGATTACATTGATAGATTTTCTTATGTTGAACCATCCCTGTATCTCTGGGATGAAGTTGACTTGATCATGGTGGATGATTTTTTTTATGTATTCTTGGATTCGGTTACCCAAAATTTTATTGAATATTTTTGTATTTATGTTTATGAGTGAGATTGGAATGTAATTCTCTCTCTTGGTTAAGTCTTTGTGTGGTTTCAGTATCAGGGTACCTGTAGCCTCATAAAAAGAGTTTGACAATGTTTTTTCTGTTTCTATTATGTTGCACATTTTGAAGAGTATAGGTATTATCTCTTCTTTGAAGTTTTGGTAGAATTATGAACTGAAAATATTTTCCCTGTGATTTTTTTTTGGTTGAGAGGCTTTTGATGACTGCTTCTATTTTCTTGCAGATTATAGGTCTATTTAAATTGTTCACCTAGTTTTGATTTTATTTTAGTAAGTGATATTATTCCAAAAAATTGTCCATTTTCTTTAAATCTTCCAGTTTTGTGGAGTACAGGTTTTTGAAATATGACCTAATGATTCTCTGAATTTCCTCTATGTCTGTTGTTATGTCCTCTTTTCATTTCTGATTTTGTTATTTTGTTAACTTAGATGTTCAGTCTCTGCCCTCTGATTAGTTTGGATAAGGGTTTGTCTATTTTCTTGATTTTCTCAAAGAACCAGCTCTTTGTATCGTTGATTCTTTGTATTGTTTTCTTTGTTTCTATTTTATTGATTTCAGCCATCAATTTGATTATTTACTGTTGTCTATTCCTTCTGGGTGAGTCTGCTTCTTTTTGTTC